GATGGGGGTGGATGATTTAGCCCCAAAAACTACTCTAATCTACCACAAATAGACCACTATCATACATTTATTGTATACCTGAAAAGTTTGGGTTTTTTCCGTAGCGGAAATCCGTGCGTGCTGTAAGTTTTATAGATAAGTGATTTATAATTGTTATTATTATTATTCCTGTCTTATTAACTGGTGGTTTTACGAAAGAATTATTATTATTAATTTTTAAGGGCGTTTTAACGGCTAAGGTCATTTCACGCCCTACCATTTATCCTTCTATCTCAGGTTAGCTATATCCCTTCTGAGTGCAATAAAGCTCTGATTCTAAACATTCACTCACAAAACTTATCTATCCTATTGCCATCCAAAGCTTTAAAATTATCCTTTTAAAAACTTAATTTGGGAGATCCGGTCTTCCAAATTAAATCTTTTAAAAGGATAATTTTAAAGCTTTGGATGACAGTAGGATAGATAAGTTTATGATAGATAGATAGATAGATATACTTTATTTACAAAATGAAAGAAATTTAGAGTTAAAAATAAAAAACACAGTATTATTATGGCATGGTATTAAGACCGTCAGCCAGAGTTCGGAGTGCATTACTATTCCAAGAATATACATAATTATAAGAAAAGGAGAATTACCATATCAACTTCAGAGTTTACAATTATTTACAGAATTTTCAAATTACAAGATTTAAATGCGATAAACTTTGAAAATAATAAAAATGATACTTCAAAGAACAAACGCAAGGATTCCAACTCACAAAGGGTCCCCACCGGCAAACAGAATTCGCATTTAGGAGACCTCAAAGTAGAAATTATATGTATTACCTGCGAGAGCAAAAAAGGAAACAAAATAAGACGAACAGAATATTAATTCCCTACATTCCAATATATTAATATCTGTAAAACCAGGCTTTCCGAGCAAAATCAACAAGACCCCGGCAATCCGAGCCGTTCAAAAGGGCTATAAGCTCTTCTCTCATCAGAAAACCCTTACCCACATACCTATATCTCAATTCGTTAAGGACTGAGATATGTTTATGAGTAAAGTTTGGAATCAGAGCTTTATAGCACTCAGAAGGGAGTTATGCAGAAAATCCATTTTAAATTTTAAAATTTATTCCTGTTTTTTAATTAGAATTTCGAATTGTTGTTCCAAAAGACATTAATCACATTTAAGCATTTCTCATAGGCTTGTACGGCCAATAATAATAATAATTCCAATTAATTGTTCTTTTCATATAAGGTTTTTGGTTGAGATGGAAAATTAGTGTCACGAACGGGATTCGAACCCTCGACCTTCGGCTCAATACGCCCGTTCGAATTGTCCCTCTTTTTTCAAATTTCGTGTAATCAGGATTCGAGCCGAAGGTCGAGGGTTCGAATCCCGTTCGTGACACTAATTTTCTATCTTAACCAAAAGCCTTAGATAAAAAGAATAATTAATTGGAATAATTATGACCACTGAACAAATATGGATTAATTTAATAATGATAATAATAGAGTCAGACTAACAAAATTCTCAGCATGAGTATAGGCAGGCTCATCGTTATAATTTTATTTTTCCATTCAAATACTATAAATACATTCACTAGTTTTCGTGGTCCGCTTGACCAAATCATATCTTTCAATTAATTTATCTATATTTAAGGTATTGGTTGAAATAAAAAAGTCGAAGGTCGTGGGTTCGAATCCCGCTCGTGTACTGACTTTTTTTATCTCGGCCAATACCTTAAATACTATAAATACACTTGCTACTTAACATTAATAATAAAACAAAAACACAATAACACTTCTTTTTTTAGGGAGCTATCTTTCCTTATTTAATATTATTATTATTATTTTTTTTTTTTTAAGGAACATCCGACAGCTTGGTCATTTCAGCCCCGAGCACATGCAAAATATAACAACACACATTCAGTACGCATTCACAGAAATAAATACATTCACACCTAGTACATTGCATTCATTCTATTTAGTACATGTAGTAATCAATATTCCTCCATCGACCTGCATAACCATTCTTAATACCGGCGGCATGCCTACACGCTCTCTGTATGGAGCCAAGGCATGACACGTCTCTATTATATGGGACACATCGAGCAACCTTTCTCTGCATAAAGGGCACCTGCGCGGGCTATTATTATTATTTATAAATATTTGTAATACAGTAACTATAATTTATATAATATTAATTATTAATTGTTCTGATTTATGTTTTGAATGAGGGTAAAAGTTCCATAAATGATGACAGTTTTCTTTTAAAAATGCGTCTCGAATTTAATTTTTTTAAATATTACTTCACAAAGACCTTTCCCGATTCACGATTTATGTAAAACATGTGCGTCGAATTACATGCTAATATTGGTATTCCATATTTCATTTGACAAAACTGATAAGCTCTCGAGGTTTATTTTCTTCCTTTCAAGTGGATCCCATGAGATCCTGGATATTGAAAGGAAAATTATCCGTGTCCGAAGGGCATAATGGTACCTTTTATTATCCGATTTGTGTTATATAATAATCCGTTCTTTAAATATAAAGAAACCTCAAGGATAAACGATGCGAAATTATTTTAAAAACATCAGAATACAAACCTTTTATAGGGCGTTTTGACCTATTTTAGATACAGGTGGCTAATTTGAACTATTTGAATTACTTTTATAAATATCAAAAGCATCGAAAACGATTAGATTAATTACAAAATAATACTAATAAATTGAATATACAGTAACACATCTCACATGTTCTTAGGCTTCACAGCACCTTCACATATTTACTTGTTTTCTCAGTCATACACGCAAGTGTGTGCGCGCATATTCTCTCTCTCTCTCTCTCTCTCTCTCTCTCTCTCTCTCTCTCTCTCTCTCTCTTTCTTTCTTTCTTTCTTTCTTTCTTTCTTTCTTTCTTTCTAAAATAAAAAAGGAAAGACCTACACGAAGTCAATGAGCAGTGAACAGTGTATTTCGAGAAAAGTGTGATATCACGAGGATAATTATATTGATAATTGATAAAAATAACCTTTTGATAGTAATTAAGAGACAATATTTTAAAGCTTTTTTAAAGTCCAATGTTGTTAACATTCTTGATAAATTCTGACCCCAAGTTGATAAGAAAGTGATATAGTCTTTATCATATAAAGTACTTTTCTTTCTGCAAACTTACGTCGTACTGAGCATTAAAAAAAATAGTGCTAAATTATAAATTGTTTATTTTTTCCTTGTTGATTCTTGTTTAGAAATAGACCAATAAATGGAAAATATTATCGCCTCGCTGGTCACGTTTGTTCATTAGATATTCTAATTTAAAAAAAATTTTTTTTTATCTATTTGACAAATCGCCAAAAATTCGGAATAAGGGGCAAATGATCAGATAATAAATAAAAGCTGGATGACTTTACCAAGTGTTTGCCAAAGAACAACGAGATCCTCATTTACAGACCAAAAACTAACAAGTGTTAGTTGACAAAAATATTTGTATTTAAACAACCGATGTAAATATTTACAAATTATTCAAAGGTAAAACCAAAATAAGCGGAAAATGTTGATATATTTCTCAATAGTGACGATCGAGCACGTTTTATAAAATTTTCACATAACTTTTTTCGTTTTCAGTTGAGGCGATTAACACTGGCGGCAATTCATGTTCGAAACTTCAAACAACAATAAAATAAATATTAAAAAAATTTCTGGGAATATAACATAATTATTACATAAAAATATAAATTCGATTCTGGCTACACGAATTTTCAAACAATGAAACTCCAAAACGAATTATAAGTCTCATACTCGTTAAAATTTTTGGGTTTTTTGTATGTAGAAAATTAAAATTTTGTTTGATTTTTCCATACGCTGCTTTAAATAGGCTGAAATTTAGTCCAAAATGGCCCAAAAAAGGCAGAATTGTAAACTGATGAAGATTGGAATAACTTCATTGTCAATAGTATCGTATAAATGCTTTACAGTATTAATCAATTTAATTTTTAATTAGTTCGTTAATTAAATTAGCATTGGTAAAAGTAAGAAGAAGCTTTGAGGCTCTTCTTCGTTCTTCTTATCAGTCTGAGTATGCCTGCGAAGAACAAAGACAATCGTGCACAGATTCGTTTAAGGGCTTTAAGGATATGCTTTATCAATAATGAGATACAAATTATTTCTTCTTAGATTTTTTTATGCTGTTTGAGCATTAATTGATAAAACAGTGGTGATACTCTATTATGTGAAAGGTGCACAAGATGTGCCTTCTGTTAGGCCTTCGTGAGTCCTCGATGAGCGTACATTCAACTTTTAATGATTTGACATTTATGTTGGGGATTTTTTACTCTTATGTTTCTTTTAAGGTTTATATGTAATATAAGTTAAATTTAAAGGTTGCTGTACGAAAAAGACCTTGGTTCTTCTTAGAGTAAGCCTACGTCGACCAAAGATATTCATGTACCGATTCATTCTAGGTCTTTAAGGATATTCTTAATAGATATGAAGTACAAATTATTAGTGCTTAGATTTTTTTATGTTGTTTGAGCTTCAATGAATAAAACAGAGTGATAATCTATTACGTGAAAGGTCCACACAAGACGTGCTTTCTGTTAGGTCTTCATGAGTCTTCGAGAAGGGTAAATGTTCAACTTTTTATGATTTGACTTCGTTAGGGATTTTTTACTTGTTGTTTTGTTTAGGTTTATATGTAATCACATGGCTTTTAGATTTTCACCTACCGGTTGAGGTGTGTTGCGAGTTGAAGTTTTGATGTATTCGATTATTTCAACTAGATTTCTGATACCTATCGCTTCAGTAATTGTACTAAATATGTAAAAGAACTTTCTGAAACTAGTGAAACATCTAAAATAATAGAAAAAAATTTGAAAAAGTAAATGTTTTAACCGGTTTTTAACTAAGTTAACTTTAGAGTTTGCTGTACGAAAAAGTCATCGGTTATTTTGTGACCATCATTATCGTGCAGCAATTTCTTTCAAATGGGCATTATCATAAAGAAAAAGTACTCACGTTTGTGAATTGTTGGTAAATCCTCGTGTATTCTTCGAGATAGTGCTTCCTCGCCTTTCGTTTCTCCCGGCAGAGGGTCGTCAGCTTTTCGAGGGTCTCCTTCTCGACGAACTCCGCGTTGGACCTGACGATTTTCGCCGCGTTGTCCAGTTCGTCCATCATCCCGCGCCACGCCTGTGCGACGACGGATCCGCACAGTTCCTCCGTCTTCTGTGCCTCTGCGGCGATCTCCGAGACGGCGATGGCATACTCTTTGTCGCGCTTCACTTTGTTCGAAACGCACCGGTGCATGCACTGCAGAAGGCGCAGCTCGGCGTCCTCGCGCGAAAGGAGCGCCTCGTGTGCAGCCTTTGTCTGCAAGTGAGTCGAGAAGCCCATTTCTCTAGCTCTCAGTATTTTCGTCAGCTTCAAAAATAGACATTTCACCTGATCCACCTGAATCTGTTCCTCATAGTTCGGCATGTAAACGATTCACTGGATCATCGTCTTTCACCGGTAAACGCACTCATATCGTCGTTCACTAATCGCTTGCAGAAGGAAGCCGGAGGCGGGTGTCTGACCTGTCGAGACAAGGCGGACCGAATGTGTTTAGTTTGAAAATTTGTTGTCCTCCCTCTACTTTTACTGCAGCCCTCTCTCCGAAGTACGATTGAATGAACTCTTCATAGTTCAACGTCTTCATCGCAGATCGCACCACGACTCAGCACCTAAGATTATGCTATAAAACCCAAAGACAATACAGGGTGTTTAACTAGTCGTGTACTACTTAGTACTTTGCCAATAGATTCTACATTCAATCATACCATCCCAATCTCAACAGTTTCGTTGTTATTCCCCCTTTTCTGATTTTTTAAGATTTCACAATTCTGCTTCAGATAAACAATGATAACTCGAAAACTAAAAGATTTTGAGCAAATACGTTCATACCATTAAAAACTACGTTATATTTCCAATAAGATGTGATAAATACTAAACTTGTAAACATTGTTGAAATAAGCGTTTTAGTATTAATAAAATACAATTGCATAAGTTTTATTTATTAGAAAAACCAGAGATCCAAACCATTCCTAACTCTCTAACTCTCCATGCTAGGGTGTCAGAAGGCATCCATAGGCAACTGTTAGTTTTTCCATTCAAACAAGAGACAAAAATATACAACAACAATTTGTTATTATTGCAAAATGTATTGTGAAATTTTACAGGTAAAATCAAAACAAAATATATAAGCAAAAGCAATAGCCTTTCCAAATGTGATTTTTTTCAAAAACACCGGCACCCCGAGGGTTGATGTGACCTCTGCTGTTGCGAACCCTCGTAAAAAAAATAAGTCTATCTGCTAAAGTTCACCATACATATGCAAAGAAAAGGAAACAAAATGTTTTAAGGAAAAATATGCAATATAAAATATTAAAAAATATAGAAAAGTAGAAGAAAAAAAATTATACTTTTATAAATGATTATTTATTAGATATTCAATATTTAATAGTAATGTATAATAAACTAATTTTTTTTTAAATAATAAAAAATGGAAAAAAGTTCCAAATATCTAGGTCCGAATCTCAACAATTTTGGAGTTATTCCCATTTTTCTGATTTTCTAAGATTTCACGATCTTGCTTTAAATAAACAATGATAACTTGAAAACTAAAAGGTTTTGGACAAATACGTTGATACCATTTTAAACTACATTACATATCTAATAAGATGTGATAAACACTTAACTTGTAAACGTTGGTCAAATAAGTGTTTTAGTAGCTAGAACTTTGAAAAAAAATTTTTTTTCAAGGTTGAAAACCTTCTTTTGATGATTCCAAACTACTATTTGCAAACCTAAACATCAGCAAATTTCAGAAAACCTACTCCAATTAATATCCTTTTCAGTGGAGCAATTGCATTTTTAATTACTTTGTTCAAAGATGAAGAAATTGATGTAGAAAAGGAAAAAAACCGTGGTTGATGGATTAGTAAGGTGGAAAGATTTAAAAAAAATTATGGAAATTTTGGATAAATTTAATTAACGTTTTTTTATTTGTGTTCGAAACCGAAATAGTACAAGTTTTACTTATTTACCAACATGACTGCAACTTTGATTAAAGGATTATTGTATTATTGTTATTATTGACCTTGACCCTCATGGACTTTTTCGTTTGGGGATTTATGAAGAGTGAAGTGTATCAAATCTTGTAATTTTAAAGCAATGGATCCTGTCTGCTGCTGAAAAACTTAAACTTAAATTGAACTTTAGTGCTACAGTGGCTAATATAAAAAAATGGGCTCGCTTGTGCTTTGCAGAGGGTGAAGAGCATCATTTCAAATCAAAATTAAAAAAACGTTTAATAAATTCATCCAAAATTTCCATAATTTTTTAAAAATTCTTTCCACCTTACCAATCCATCAACCACGTTTTTTCCTTTTCTTCATCTTTGGAAAACGTAATTAAAAAAGCAATTACCCCAGTGAAAAGGATATTGATTGTAGTAGGTTTTCTGAAATTAGCTGGTGCCTAGGTTGGGAAATAGTAGTTTAGAATCATCATAATAAGTTTTTCAATTTAAAAATAAATATGTTTCAAAGTTCTGCTATTAAAATGCTTATTTCACCAACATTTACAAGTTTAGTGTTTTTCACATCTTATTATAAATGTAACGTAGTTTTCAATGGTATGAACGGATTTTTCCAAAACCTTTTAGTTTTCAAGTTAACATTGTTTATTTGAAGCAAGATCCTGAAATCTTAAAAAAAAGGGGGGAATAACCCCGAAACTGTTGAGATTTGGACCATAGTTAGGACTTTTTGGTCCATTTTTACTGTAGAATCTACTGGCAAAGTTTGTAATATGAGTAAAAAAAAGGACATAATTATTTATTATACATTACTAGTAAATATTGAATATATAATAAATAATCATTTCTAACAGTTTACTGTAAATTTTTAAATGTGTTTCATAATTTAGTATTTAAATTCTTCATTAAAGTTCTTGCGCATTTTTCCTTAAAACATTTTGTTTCCTTTTCTTTGCATATGTATTAGGGATATGGTGAAATCTGGCAGATAGGCCAAGCTTATGCTTATATATATATATTGTGTTTTGATTTTAACCGTACAATTTCACAATAAATTTTAAAATAATTACAAATTGTTGTTATATATTTTTGTCTTTTGTTTGATTGGAAAAACAAACAGTTGTCTGCAGATGCGTTCTGGCATCCTAGCATGGAGAGTTAGGCATAGTTTGGACCTCTGTTTTTTTCTAATAATTAAATCTTATGCAATTTTAATACTGAATTAAATTTTTTACGATTAAATAAGAAAGGAAAAAATTAACAGAAAATTAGCCATCCTCGGTGTTAAATTTAAGGACAGGAGGTAGTCAAGAAGACAAGACTTAAAAAGGCATAAAAAAGTGGAAAGAGTTGAGGCATGATGAATCAAGTTACTTGTATAAAAAGCTTTATTTATAAATCTTCAACAGTATGTCTATGGGTTTTTTTTACATATAATTAATAATTAAATTCTTATGTATGCCCTTTTTTGATCTCTTATTTTATACCTCAGTGTAGAATATCAACAAAATTGATAAATATTTTAAAATGCTTATATGCTGGTATAATACTGCCTTATGTCAAACAGGATTCGAACCCACACCCTCTGACAATACTGCGCAATACTCTGCGCCCTAATCACTTGAGTTTTTGACTTCGATTAATATAATAAATTGAATAACTAATATGGTCAATTATGACCACTATACAAATATGGATTAATTTAATTAAAAATGAAGTAATTACTTCACTAAGCTCCCCATGACCGCTACATAAGTCACTAAGAATTGAATCCTGATTACACGACATTTGAAAATATATCCCTATTTGTAAATTTTTATGCCATATTTGAAAAATGGCAAAAAACAAGGGGAAAATTCAAATGGTTGTAGGTTGAGATGAGGGGGTGGTGTCCAATGAGATTGAAGTCTTGATAGCTCAAATGGTAAGAGCAGCCGGAGGTTGTGGGTTCGAATGTCGCTCGTGACACTAATTTTTCATCTCAACAAAAAAGCCTTAGATAAAAAAAACACAAAAACAATTAATTGGAATAATTAATATTGCAAATTATGACCACTGCTGATCATTTGTCTCTTCCTTCTCTTAAAATAATCAGCATCTTATTTGTTTGAGCCCCCCCCATTTCCAAAATTTATAGGTGCAAGGTTTTTTGCCTTTCTTGAAAAATTACTTTTACTGATGTTATCAGGTTGTGAAAATAGGAACCTCATTTGAAACATACAAATAGTTTCAGTTTTATTTCATATTTTCAACCTGGAAAATAAAAAAGAGCTGACAATAGTAACTTCTTGTAAAATAGCAGGTTGACATTTTCCTCTCAATGCAAACCAAAAATTAGTAAAATCCCCCCCCCCAAAAAAAAATAAAAATAAAATAAAAATATAACCTTGATTGAATTGGGTAAAATTATTATAATCTTAAATGGAAATGCAGGTAATTGATGACCCAATTATTTTAAGTATCTACAAATATGCTCCCATCATCTCTGTCGAACTTGAAAAGATTTGTGTGGTGTTTAGTGACCGTTAATTAATGATTATTTAGAGATCGTGAGATGCAGTTTGGTGTCTCCACTCTGGTCAGTTTTTTAAAATTTTACAGAAATGAAGTGTCTCATTGTATTCAGATTGAGGTCATGATCATAAATTAAGCTTAATTATTTATCCATTTGTTTTAGTGGTCAATTGACCAAATTACTTCTTTCAAATAATTATTCTTTTTATGTAAGGTTTGGTTGAGATAAAACAGTTAGTGTCACGAGCGGGATTTGAACCCTACACTAACTTTTTTATCTCAACCAAAACCTGACATAAAAAGAATAATTAATTGTTTATTTTGTACATTTTAAATTGTATGATTTTTGCATGACTGACATTTTTCTGTTCTATTTCCTTTCAAAATGATTGTATATTAGGTCAAAAAGAAAAAAAAATGTCAAAAAAATAAAGTTGTTAAATATTATTTGGGTGATGTCTGGCATTCCTGCCGCTTATTTTCATTATAAATTATATGCTACATTTAAAGGTTGTGTGCATATAACATTGCATAGTTGAGGTTTTATAAGTGCATATTATATGGCATATTTGAGAAATTTTATTAAGTCCAGAACGCACCTCCTTCCAATCCCACACATTCTTGGGATGTAATCCAGCTTTTGGCATTGTTAACGGTGGGTCACTGCGTTTTCCTGAGGATCATCTCTGAACATAAAGGACTTGTCATCCCCTGTTATCAACAGAATAACCTAATTCTATTAAGCATCAAATTATCCCATTTTTACCCTCGTTATTCCATCTACGCCAAAACATTAAATCTCATCTGAGAATAGGTTATTGTGCCTTAACATTCCTTGCTATTGCTCTTTTTGCTCCTTGCTTTTTCAAGGCAGATGTCACCATTCTTGAACCTGTGAACTACCTCATTACTTTGATCGTTAAATTTTTGCTCTTCATCAAACGGGACGACCAAACTTATTGATCTCGAATAAAATTTGATAGTTTGCATCATATTCTCGACTCCGTTTTGTCCACCATCTTTTAAAAGATGCGAAGAAAAGGTTTAGCAGAACAAAATGACAATAAATAAAAAACTAAATAAGTAATTAATTTATTTTTATTTAATATAAATGAGAAATAATTCCCCTGTATTTTGTTACACATTATGTAAATTATGTACATAAAATAGCCATTAAATTGTTATTTAAATTTACTAGAATACAAGGCAGCTTTGTACATTATGTACAATTGCAATTGATTGCCAGGCACTCGTGAATACCTGAACAAATTCGCAATAAAAAAAATATATTTACAATATAATGATTTTAATAAATACTATAACATCAACAAAGTTACAGTCTAACTGTTATTTCAAAAGTCAACAATAAGGGAAAAAATAGAGAAAAATATATGTGATGATTTGTGGCCTAAATACAAGTAGTTTTAATTTGATTTCTCTCGCTGTAAACTAAAATTACAATAAATTGAAAATATAAGAAAGCTGCTTTAAGAAAAAGAAAATAAATTTAAGAATTACATATTACGAATTTATGGAAGTCATTATTTTGTTGATGGTACCATTCACACATGTCTTAACGAGAGTAAGTACAGGCTAAGTGCCAATTTCAGTTTTATTCCAATTTAACAATTACAAAAAATTAAGTAAGGTTGTAAATTTAGGTACAATTTATCAGACTCCAATTTAGCCTTTGGAATGCCATTTTTGTTTTATTATTTTTAATAATGGATGACAAAAAATTATACTAAACTAGTCCATAGTTTACAAACATGTAAATTGCCAATATTTTCCACATGAAGGCTTAATTTTGTTTATTGCTTTATTAAAAAACTGTTTTTTGGCAGAACTCTCATCACCAATGTAAAATAGCACTTTTAATAAATAAGTGTATACATTAAAGGCACAGCTCAGAATGGCAATATATATATTATTTTTTATATTTTTTATGAAAAAATATATATAAATCTTTGTAATATGCAGTCTATCGGTACTTAATTTACAAATCGAGCAATATCGTTTTAAAATTAATTCTCTTAAGTACAGTTCAAGAGCATTTGAATTCACATGTCGATGTTTTTTCGACTTACAAATTGTGAAAGTGTCAGTACTTTGTGGTTTTTGTTTTTCTCTTTTAATTTATAAATTTCAAATATAAATATTTGCACAATAAGACCTTTATGTACACTTAAGCTCTTGTTTAAATATTTCAACAATGTTTAAGGCCATCCTAGTCTATTAGTATTGTAACAATTTTATAAATAAACATTTAATATGAAAAATATCTTTACAGAAAATTGGACTTTTTTTTTTCTAAGGCATTTCGGAGTTAGGCACTACTGTAGTATAGTATTAAAATGTAAATTCCAAAGCACATTTCAACTATTTTTATTCAAAATAAGACAAATTGAACCCCTGAGTGATCCAGTCAAAAACAAAAGGATTTAAGCAGCTTATAATACAAGGCACTGTGTTCTGCTTAAGAATTCTAAGGATAATTGGGAAAAAATGACTAAAAGGATTCCCCAACATTATGTACAAACATTTTTATTAAGGTACATAAGTGTTCCACGCCTCCTTTTCACAAAGGGGAATACTGCTTAAAGCTATAACAATAAAAATTTGATTGGAGGTCGGGGGATTGTGTGAGAATGTATTTGAACAGTCACCTACAAGGAGCCAGAAGGATTTCTAGCCATGTAGGACATGAAGTCACCTCTTGCCTCGTGTACTTCGGCCCCCAACCTTTGGTGAAACTGATCCTAATCGAGAACGGATCAATTGGTCCAATGTGCGGCCGTGATATTGTCGTCCAAGGTTTGCATCTCGCTGTTTCGGTAAAAACGTTGAGGCAATAGCCGGGTGGCACCTTATACACAATGCAGAAGCTCGAATCCGGATCGTCCAACGCTGGAGAATTCACGAACACCGGATTGTCTGACATGTTGTACGCCCAAACCCCGTCGTCCTCTTTACTCAGAGTCACCCCTAAAAATAAAAGACAAAGTTATTTAAAATTAATGTTTAAAAAAATTAAGTAAATGATTTAGACATTTTCGATGCCACATTGTAGCAAATAAACCAATCATTCAAGCTTTTAATAATGATAGAAACATAACACATTGAATGAACAGCACATAATTTAGCCTTGGTTCAATATAAAGAGCAAGTAGGCACTATGGGTTCCTTTTCAGATTTTTAGATTATTTTATAGTTAGTCTTATGTTTTTTTGTTTTTTAGTATTAAATGTATGTATGAACATATTTATTAGCATGAATGTACAAAGGAATACATTTAAAATTGCCACGTTGACAAAACTTTGGTAGAGCAAGATTGAGGTTGGTGCACACTTGAGTTGAAGATTTTTATATTGACTCAGTATTTCAAAATACAGTTCAGGATGGATAATATAATAAAAATAAAATAAATTAATTTTACCTCTTCCGATCTTCTCGCGAGCTTTCAGAACGTCGGGGTTGGGCGTTTTCTGCATGGCCAGGGTCGCCAGGGAAAGGCCATCGCCACGAGGAAGGCTCCCGAATACGTTTACGAAGTTGTTTTCTACAGGGTACTGCCTTCCTATCCTTTGTGAAAGCTCCCAGTAAGCGAGTCTACACCACTGTCCACACGCTTCCGAATCGCCTGGAATCAAAATAACAGAACCAATGAGAAAAAAGTTATGAAAACAACATAATAAACAAAATTAATTAATATAAATTGTGCCTGTGAGTTTAATCAATCTTGAGTACCGTCAAGACGTCCGGCTACCTTACAAATCAACCCTCGGTTTCAACTCAAATTTCATACTTTTATTTTGCTGAAAATAAATGAGTTGAGCTTCAACGGTTTCACCAAGGCCAATTAGCTTTTTATGTTGATTTCAATCCGCCCGTGAGCCAATAATAAAACTGTTATATAACTCATCTTATCTTTTATTTTAATTAATGCTTCCCCTGTCATGCTGCTTATGCTTTACGCACCCGGCTTAATTCAGCTTACATTAGTTGTACATAAACAAATGACCTTATTGTGTTTTTATTATAATAGACTGCCACGCTATGCCAAATAAATTCATAGTTAAGACTGGAAAAAAAAAAAAAAACTTCCTTTCTCTTTTTCATCAGTTTATCTCTGTAGGTTTGATTAAAACAGAAATGCTATCTAGTATGGCAGCATTCTTTATACTTTTTTACAGCCAGTTCTATGACACAATTGGTTTTGCGCAATTTTTATAAATGGCCTCAGTTTAATTGTAGACACATCTTACATTGATTGATGAAAACTGACAACGCAATATTGTAATTGCCTGAAAGGCAAGCAATCTTTGTGATAATGCCTGGTTTTTCGGTAGGATTCTCTGTTAAATAGCATTCCATACAGGTAATTATTTTTGCATTTTAATTATCAATTACGCTCGGTTGTTTTTTTGAAATATTTTTTTACACCGAACTTGTTCAATTCAGATTTGGCGTCGTAATCAATTTACAGATTATCCAGTTAAGACAAGAAAGCTGTTTCTTCCCACCCTAGTTCAGAAAAGGGGCAAATTTAATTAACAGCATGTATGTTGGAGATGGCGAAAGGAAACACCGGGATGAGACAAAAAAAAAAAATAATACTTCCAAGCCATTAAAAAAAAAAAAATTAATGATGGACTTCTGGATATTGGAACTTCCAGGATCTAGTTGAATAACAACGAAACATACAGTGAATAACCTCATATCAGAAAGCGTTGCAATAGTAGGTAACAGAAATAATTTGACCACTTGTCTTAAATTTTGAACGTTTTCTACTAAAAAAAATCCCATTTCTTAATAGGTTTTTGAGTTTCCAAATGGGTTACATGCAGAATATTAATCGATATTTTTTGCTATAAAAACTCTCCAGACTTACAATTAACACAGGTTTTCAAGATAGAAATGAAATATTTTCACATTGAAAGTTTTCAGGAAAATATTAATTTTACGTTGACATTTGTTTTTCATATAAAACCTACAATTTATGAATGAGTTTTAGGGTGGATTTTTTGAAAGGATAATTTTGAAGTCGATATTTAGTTTCAAGCAAGAAAATTTCATGGGTTTGCGCCTTTGGATGTGAATATCCTCGTAACAGAATGTTCTAAAATACTAAGGTGTAGGAATAATTTGTCCATGTGTGTTAAATTAAATTTTGAACATTTTTCTGCTGGAAATTTGATTTTTTCATTGGATTTCAGATAGAATTTACTAAAAAAAGTTTTAGTATTCCGGTAAAGAAATATTTAAATTAACATTTTCTTTTGTTTCAAGCTAGAAAATTTCATGTATTTGTTATGTGAACAACCTCGTAATAGAAAATGCTGAAAGAGTGGGTCACAGAAATAATTTAACCACGTGTCTTAAATTAAATTTTAAACGTTTTCTGCTAGTAAATTTAATATTGAATTGATTTTTGCATTGGGTTTCAAGTAGCAAGTAGAATTTAGTAAAAAAGCTTTAGTATCCTGCTAAAGAAATATTTAAATTAGCATTTTCTTTTGTTTCAAACTAGAAAATTTCATATATTTGCGTTTTCGTATGTGAACAACCTCGTAATAGAAAATGGAAAGACAGCACAGAAATAATTTAACCACGTGTCATAAATTTTCTGTTGAATGATATTGATTTTAAATTGATTTTTGACTTTTCACATGGGTTTTCATGTAGACTTTACTAAAAAAAAGCTATATAAAATATGTTGCTAAAGAAATATTTAAATTAGCATTTTCTTCTGAACAACTTCGTAATAGAACATGCATAAAGACAGGTACACAGAACTAATTTATTAACCAAATGTCATAAATTAAATTTTAAACGTTTTCTGGTAGAAAAATTTCGATTTTGAATTGATTTTTTCATGGGTTTTCAGATAGAATTTACTAAAAAAGTTTTAGTACTCTGCTAAAGAAATATTTAAATTAGCATTTTGTTTTGTTTTTCATGCTAGAAAATTTCATGTATTTGCGCTTTCGTATGTGAAACAACCTCGTAACAGAATCTGGGGCACAGAAATAATTTAACCACGTGTCTTAAATTAAATATTAAACGTTTCCTGCTAGAAAATTTTCAATTTTGAATTGATTTTTGATTTTCGCATGGTTTTTCATGTAGAATTTACTAAAAAAAACCTTTAGTATCCTGCTAAAGAAATATTTAAATTAGCATTTTCTTTTGTTTCACGGAAGAAAATTTCATGGGTTTACGTTTTCTGTTTGATAAAACTCTTCAGATTTGCACGTTAATTGAGCTTTAATATGATGATTAATTTTAATTATTACTGTACGTTTTTATTTTCTGTTCCCAAGTTAAAAGTCAAACCTGGGTTCACAATAGAGGCGTGATATTTTTAACATCGTTGCTTTAAGAACTTAAGAACGAGCGGATGTACAGGCAAAAAATCCACGCAATCTTTCATAATCCCGACGACCATGCATTTATAAAAAAAGATAGAAGAGGCGCTCAACTGTAAATTTAAAGTTTACAGGCAGTGATTGATCGGTATCGTGCCTCCGAGAAGTGCGGATTGACTCGCCAAACCTGAACGATGCAGACATCACCAGGCATCACCATCTGCCTTCGGACACAAAGTGGCCTTTTGTCGGTCGGGAGAGCTGGTCGCTCTCTTTGCTACAATGAATTATCTAAGGCCAGTCGACCTCTCACTGGCGCCAGACTAACCTTCTTTATACGCAGACGTCGCCAAACGAAGGTTTTAATTTATTGCGATCTCGGATCTCGCGGACGTATTTTTGCACTCGTTTCGTGTAAATCTATTGAAGGCGAGTGACTAGATATGACTGTCGTACGTCCCTCAACTACATCATCTCATCCAAAGCAAAAAAAGAAATAAACAGAACATTCATCCAAACAGTCCCATGATCAGATAATTTTCAAAATGATAATTTAAAATATAAAACCGTAGAGGTATTTTTGGTCTTTAGTTCATTACCAAGAAACCAGCCAAACAGTATTCAATCGATAATTAAACCCTATCCCAAAGATGCTTAGAAAAATAAATGAAAATTCAATTTCGTTAATTTATAAGGATTATGAAAAAAACAGAAAAACAAAAAATTTAAGGGCAGATGATTGCAAGTTAAAATAAATAAGTAAATATAGTCCCAGGGATAAAGCCAAATTTTAAAGAAAGAAAAAACAGTTCCTTCGTCAAGCTTTAGAATATAACGAATACAAAAATTTACTTACAATTATTCAGAAATCGTGAGATGCGGTCTGGTGTGATGTAGGTTTCAGAAAAACATTTTCTTTATCGTGCCAACGTTTCGATCTTTATTGAGATCATCTTCAGGGCCTGGGATTTACAAACATTGTTTAAATTTAACAAATACATGTAGGATGTGGAAAAAAGTGAATTTAAACAATGCAAAATATATTTTTTTTATTCATCCCAGGCCCTGAAGATGATCTCAATAAAGATCGAAACGTTGGCACAATAAAGAAAATGTTTTTCTGAAACCTACATCACACCAGATCGCATCTCACGATTTCTGAATAATCTTCGACTAACGGTCATTAATCACCACACATTTTTACTTACAATGTTTGAAATTATGGCTTCAACCATCATAACTGATGGGTTTACTAAGGTAATTAGCAAAATTTTATGCAGAATCGATTGTAGATTTTGTTCACTCCACTAAGCAAAACTCATGAATTTACGATAAAAACTGAGAGGTTTTTTCAAACTCATAGGGTGGTTTTATTAAAACAAATAAACAAATTCAGTACCAGGGATAAGGCGAATTTGAAATAAATAAAAAAAACCTCAGTTCCTTCGTCAAGCTTTAAAATAAAACGAATATAAAAATCTACTTATTATGTTTGAAATTATGGCTTTAACCATCAAAAATTTATGAGTTTTGCTTAGTAGAGCGGACGAGATCTAAACCGTCCATTCTATATTAAAATTGTGATCTCTATTAAGCTAAAACTCATTAATTTATGATGGTTGAAGACAATTCAAATATTGTAAGTGCATTTTTATATTTGTTAAAATTACGAATTACAAATGGTTAAATCATTAGAAATAGTTTCAATGTCCTGATGAAATGGATAAATTTCTAGAAAGGTTGTCAAAAGGATGATGATATTTTGTTTTCTTTAAAATTTCCCTCATCCATGATTTTGTAATACAAGGNTATATATATATATAATCCCTCGAAAGCTTGAAGGAACTAGGAGGTTTTTTCATATACATAGGGTGGTTTTATTATAACAAATAAGCAAATACAGTCCCAGGGATAAGGCAAATTTTAGAGAAAGAAAAAACATTCGATTCCTTCGTAAAGATTTAGAATATAACGAATATAAAAATGTTTGATATTATGGTTTCAACTGTCATAAATTTATGAGTTTTAGCTCAGTAGAGTAAATGTCATCACAATTTTAATGCAGAATGGACGGTTATAAATCTCGTCCGCTCTACTAATAAAAACTCATAAATTTACGATGGCTGAAGGCAATTCAAATATTGTAAGTTTAGTTTTATATTTGTTCACCAAATATAGTTAAATTTAGAAATGGAGTGGTAATTCTGAATTGATAGGTTTTTTTCATACACACAGGGTGGTTTGATATACTATATATATATATTATGCAACA